TATATATATATATATATATATATATATATACCCAAAAATGAATTGCATATGAAACTAAAAAATAATTTATAAAGGGAAGAGATATTTTTGAAGAATTTTCAATATTTTTATTTAATGCAAATTCTATTTCTACTTACCATTGATATAAAATGTTGCAATTCGTGCTTATACATCTCATCTCATTCTCATATACTTGTTTTTAATCTAATTGGCGAAATTATTTTAATTAATTCTGCTTATGATTGAGTTTGGGATATATACACATAATCAAACCAATTTGATTCTCAATCTATGTGAATTATTGCTAAACACTACTTTCGCATTGTATAAATTCCTAGGCCCTTTGTTATTAAGAAAGAGAATAAGTCTACTTGTTGACTTAATAAAATGATATTGCATACAACATTATTCGCCATATCTTTGACATTGTGAATATAGCGGATTTTACTAAGGCAACTTTCAACTATTGATTATAAACATAACCATTGTTATGCCATAATATAGCAAAATGCAACCAACATCACCTAGCTTTAAACAACAACTAACTACTAACCAAATAGTCCAATAATGTATTTTTCCTTGATATTTTCATATTATGCTGCACCTAACTAACAATACCATAAAGTTCAAATAATGACCAACTTTCTGCCATGTTCCTTATTTTGACAGTTCAAATATGACTAAACTAATGAGATTTCGGAATGGCTAACATTATTACAAAGCTTTTATACGAATTTCAAAATAAGACAATTAACTTATAGCCATCGTGTTGAATTCACTACTAGTTAACTAACATGAAACAAAACTGAAATTTAAACTAATGAACTCGGACGAATGGAAAACAGAATTATAATTTCCAAGCTTCATTTATTTGTCATGTTGAAGCTCTTCATAACATGAGTTTAAAATATATGTACCTGGAAATGAAGGTAGAAGGAGTAAATTTCAGCAATAATAACAGCAACAAAACATCGGCAGAATATACCAATAACACAGCAAGTCTGAACAAGACCCGTTAACCTAGATGAACAGTGACAGAAACTTGAGAAAAAATTTCAGATTCAAACTGAACAATATCCACAAACAAACAACGGACAGATTCTAGAAGAATAACATTTTTCAGATTTCAGTTTCTTTCCTGTTTCAGATTCCTATTTCTGATTTTTCTGTTTCTGCTTTTGTATCTGTTTCAGATTGTGTGTGTGTGTGTGTGTGTGAATATTCTCTTTTATATTTTTTTTTCTGTTTTCTTCATCTCTTTCCTCTTCTTACAAAATAATCTGAGTTCTTTTCTTTTCTTCAAAATCTCAGTCTTAAAAATCTCTCTCCAAATCTCCTCCTAAAATCTGTGTCCTGCTTCCTGTATTTATACATGTCTGTCCCTTTCTTTTTAAGTGCTGCCTGGACCCCCTTTTTGTTATCTAAGACAGATTTTCCCTTAAAATCTGCCACTGAACTGCTTTTTCTTATTCAAACAGCACTAAGGATACCTTTACTTTATTTTCAGCCCCTCCACTTCCTTTGGTTTCCTATTATCCTATTAGATTAACAGCCACTAACACTCCACTTCCAGCACACTAGTACTAACACTGTTTTTTACTGTTTCATTCCCAGAAATGCCCTGAAATCCTACTGTTATTACTGCCCATTAATACAAGATCAGAATCTATTATGAAACAGATTTAAAAATCTGTTCAAACCTAATTATCAAC